TATATAAAAAAAAAAAGATATACGGAAAAGCTTCTCACAAAGATACCGGTTAGGCAATGAAACAGATTTCCCTGGGAGGCTGCAGAATGTGTCTGTTCTTGTTGCAACTTTACTGGACAAGACTCTGACAAACCTGCTCTAACTACCATGAGCAGGAGGTTTGAGTAGATGATTTCTGTCGGTCCCTTATAACCTTATTTTTTGTATGATTCTGTTATAGAAGGGGAGTTACTGTAGGGTGGTTTCTAAGAAAACCCAAAATGATGTCAAAGGAAATGAGGCAGAAGCTAGGTATAGAGCCAGGTCAAAATACTTGCCATTGCATTTTCAGCATATATTAAAGACATGCCCAGGTTTGTGGGCATTTCCAGATGTTACTCAGCTGATCCTCCTTGACTATTTCAATGTAGACACTGGAAAAGTTTACAGTCTCAACATTCTATATACCAAATTTTGCTCCCTAACAAACAGGAGAGTAAAGATTTACTGTTTTTTTTTAGTTTTCTCTCTAAAAAGAGTGTGTGTGTGTATGGCTTCATCACAAACAAAGTCTGAACCATTTTAATCAGTTTAATCAAAGCAGTACTGACTGATTAAAGCTGTACTGTATTTTTCCTAATGAAGTAGATGCAGTTACATAGGTATAGAAGTAAGTATAGAAGGAAAGGTGATAATCTGTGATAATGAAAGATGGTTGATTTAATGAGCTAGTACAATTTAACAAAATTCCTTAAAACCACACCTTTAATTTGGATTAACTCAAGTCTCTGTTCTTAAAGAACGTCATTGTGATGTTAATGGCCTAGAAGTTGCATTGGCTAAAGCATTTAGCTAGAAGATCATACCAGTAACCAGAGTGGATTTACCAGTACACAATCTTTGTATAGATTAAGCCTGAGACTGAAAAGCAGATTTAAAAGTGGTCTCAGAGCACTGACCATGCACACAGTTTAGCATATGCAGCAGTGGAATTAAAAAAGGGGTTTGGTGGACAAATCAGTGTCATTTCCAACTTCTTTATTGTCTGAATATCACGACAGAACAATGGTTCAGGTTTTTTTTTTTATTTCTTATTCTTAGACCCCAAAATTGCAGTCTCACACAGAAATCTTGTTTGTATCAAGGGGAATTTTGCCTCAAACAGAATTTCAAAATTAAGTTTATTACATTGCTACTGTGTGCATAAAACAAATTATTATTATTACTAATAGATTCATTTTTGTATATGTATGTGAAACAAACGTGAATGGTATGTATTTGTCTAATTTGCAGGTGGATTTTCAGGACAAGACTCAGATAAGTCTGGGATAACCATGTCTGATATTCAGTGCCTTCTGGATAAAGAAGGTGCATCAGAACTAGTCATAGATGTTATAGTAAACACCAAAAATGACAGAATTTTCTCAGAAGGCATTTTGCTTGGTATTGCGTTGCTTGAAGGCGGAAATACACAAACACAGGTACTTATTTAATTTACTTATTCACATACTGATTTTCAAATACATGTAGTCTGGAGACAAATAAAAAGAACCTTTTTGCTGTGAGTTCCGTGAAAAGTTTATCACTATAATATGTATCGCTATACTGCAAATGTAAATATGCCCAGTTATTATGCAATATCTTGCAGCGTAGACTCTTCAATAGAAGAAAACATTTTTCAGCTGTCCCTTTTTGTGTAACACAGTGCTGCTTTTAATCTGGTCTTTGCCATATGAGCATTCTCTCCAGTTATTTCATATCTCTCTTTGTAAAATTAAAAATTACAATACTTTCAAGTTTATAACAGCAATAAAATTAAGTTATTTTCTGGTAATATTTAGGGACATTTATTGAAATCTCCAAAGAGAGAAAAACTGGCCGTTTGAGAAGACCAATATCCCAGTACGTAGAAAATAAATGCTTTAAACTACAGATTCTAGTTTTTGTGAATGATATTCTTCTCACCCAACTTTAGCCAAATAAGATGATTCTTTATTCTTACTCTACAGTCAGAGTTCTTACCATAAGAGAGAAGAGATGGTATGAATTACTCCCTGCATTTCTCCGTATCTCATCATTGCCTGTGAAGGGAGCCTAAATAACCAACTTATACCTCATTGCAAGACTATAAAAGTTAAATGAGAGGAATCCCATCCTGTATCTTTAGTCTGTAAAAAAGATAATACGATCTGTGAACCTTAGAGAGTGTCCAGAAATGTTAAAGTGAGATTTTGTTGCAGCTTTTCTAAAATGAATTATTAGGGCTGTAAAAGGCTTTTACTTTAAGATAGAGTTTGTAAACTGTTGAAAATGGTACTCAGCCTGCTTGACAGTAATACTAAGGGACTGGACTTAATAACCTAAAATATTAATTCCAATTCTGTGTGAAGCACAAGAAATGTATATAATCTAAGCTATAATATTATGGTAGATGTTTCATGCTGCTTCTTGTTGTTACATAATAGCAATTACTTTTCACTATTATTTGTAGATGGAATATTATAACTCTAGAATGCCTGGAGAAATGGAGAGTGTCATAAAGTAATTTAACTTCAAGTGTAATATTGTGACATTTTAAAGATTGCAAATAGCAGTGTTCACCATTTTATCCAAATTTTAAAATGTTATCATCAATCTTTGTTACCAGCCTTGTATATTACTTTGTGAAAGAACTGGCCAGGCAATGGCCAGCATTTGTTCTGTGTAAGTGAAGTAATTATTTATCATTTGTTTCACAAAAGATATTGTATTTTTGTATTTCCTCTTCCTTAGAAGATTGATATCTAAAGAATGTATTTTTTGCAGTATTCGACTTACCAGCAACTGAAGGAACAAAAAAAGTCAGAAAAATTCTTTAAAGTCCTGTATGACCGCATGAAAGCTGCTCAGCAGGAGATACGATCGACAGTGACAGTGAACACTATTGATTTGGGGAGCAAAAAGAAAGATGATGATAGTGACCTAACCATATCTGTTCCCAAAAAGAGAGGTAAGGAGGCACCCGCGTAAAAGAGGGGAGAAGTGCGTTATATTCAAACTGCATGTACTACACCACTGATCCTATGCTGTGTTGACGAATAAGCTTTAATATTAATCATTGCTAATTTGCATCTTTTGCCTGTTTTTCTCTAAATTATCGGCCATTTCTTAAGCTGGCTACAAGGAATTAGCTTTGATAAAATCAGTGAAGCTATGCCAGTTTACACCAGTAGAAGATACAGAACCATATTTTTAGAGAAGCAGAAGTAGAGGCTGCCGCTAATGGGGCTGTTTCACAAGAGCAAGCGCAGGAACTGATTTCCCACCCTGTGGTCCTTCCATTGTTCTCATCATTTATTGTATATGGGAGAGAAATAGTAGGGCTTTTTGTTTTAATGTTCTGTTTCACTCTGGCTTGTGGTTTATTTGGAACATGTTATCCCTGCATGAATGTTGCTTTGATATTCTTTGTAAGTTGCCTAGAGGTCTTCGAAAAGTTAGGCACCAACAAAGAAAAAGTGGCATTCATTATTACTGTTTTCTTATTGTTTAATCAAATGAGGAGAAAGAGTTTCAAAAATGAAGGAAAATTATCTTCTTTTCAGTAAAGGATTCAACCCTGCATCTGAAAGAGGGTATGAAGGGACAGTTAACAGAAGCATCTTCTGCAACGTCCAAGGCTTACTCTGTGTATAGAAGAGAAATGGACCCAGAAATAGATCTTATGGGCTCAGGAACAGATGCTGCAAATGCAGAAGAGAAGTCCACAGAAGAGGCAATCATGAGCCCTGCCATTGCAATCATGCAGCCAATACTGAGATTTCTTCAGCTGCTCTGTGAGAACCACAACCGAGAGCTCCAGGTAAAGTATTTTTGAGCTGAGCTCCAAAAGAAATATTACAGGAGCTGGAACTTCATAAGGCAAGAAAAACATGCTTATGCCTGGCTCCTGTTACAGAATAGGGGTGTCTGAAATGTTGTTGTTCTTTTGTTCCAAGGGATAAAAGAACCCTTTCCAAGAATCACTTGCACGCTCTGGTTGAGCTCATGTTTATGTCCTCAGAATTGCTTGGGGACCGCAGCATAGCCACATGGAATTGCGAAGTGTCTAAATGTCCCTGTTAGTATGGTTTCTGTGCACAAAGGGTGCATCTCTTACCACAGACTTGAAGACCACAGGAAGTTTCTGGGCAAAGTTTGGGTACTGCTCTTTTCCCTAGGTATTATGATTGAAGGCTTTAAGATGCTACGTGTGTCCCTGCTGTCAGTTCCTCTGGTGGAAATTACTGTCCCCATAGCAACCTTTGCAAAATGAATTTTCTGCAAATATACCTCAGTGCTGTGTCCAGCAGCCTCCCTTAAAGCAGTGCTGGGGGTGGCTGGAGCTAAGCTGTCGTTCTGCACTGACACTGCCAAGGAGCAGTCATAATGTGCCACCATACCTGCTCGCCTGTGGGGCAACAAGTTTCCAAGAGAAGGTTCATAATAGATGGACGGGGGTAGGTATGCAGGACATACATAAGACATTTAAGGCCAGTGCAGATGTTTGCAAAGTTCACTTTCCTAAGCCCTCCTTTCTCTGCTGATTTAATCAGATAATGATTCTCAACTGCTGCACTAAGGCATAATACATTTTCTACAGTGGGGTGTACTTCAGTACCTAAGGTACAGTGGTCATATGGTTGTAAATTGTTCCCTTTAATATTTTAATGAAAAAGAAGGTGTGACTTGACTCCCTCTTGTTTTTTTGTTGGGTTTTTTTTTGGTGTTCATTTTCTCCATCCACCAGAATTTTTTAAGACATCAGAACAATAAAACAAATTACAACCTTGTTTGTGAGACCCTTCAGTTTTTGGACTGTATCTGTGGAAGCACAACAGGCGGACTGGGCTTATTGGGGCTTTACATCAATGAGAGGAATGTGGCTCTTGTGAACCAGACGCTGGAAAGCTTGACTGAATATTGCCAAGGTCCATGCCATGAAAATCAGGTAGGCCTCAAGTAACTTGTGGATGCGGAAGAATTTACCTGAATGTATGGTGCCTGTGTGCTTATCATAAACCTTTCGGTGTTCTTAATAACATAAATTCACATGTAATTGCTATGACTAGGCTTAACATGTTTCAACCTTTCCTAAGGCCTCAGCAATCCTTTTAAGTCAGAACTCATTATAGTCTCTTCCTGTAGTATGTCTGCTTACGTGGAAGGTTTCCAGTCCTTTTGGAGAGAGTTTAATGTCTTATGTCAGTGGGTCCATGGCTTAAACCTCACTTTGTGAGACTGAATTTCGACTCACAGTTGTGGAAGTACATTGCATATATAATCTTGTTGTCTTGATTTTCATACATTTTGCCTTTGCTGGTGTTTATATAGGTTGCTAACATTTACTTTCCTTAATTCACATAACTGCCACAAAGTTTAACTTACTATCCTGTTATACTACCTATCAGCATCTTTAATTATGATACCAGTAGTGAAATGGATGAGACTAAAGACGATGCTTCTAATCTTCTGTGCCTTGCTTGATGCAGTCTTTTTAAGTCATATAGCTGTGACTTTTGGTAGATGTCTCTCTAGTGCCGTGCTGAGGCAGTATAGAAAGGTAAAGCATGTAGTTACATGCTGCTATATTTGATCTGAGGAGAACTGTAGTAAAGTTGTCACAGTGGATGAAATTTCAGAATTTTTACTATGGATTAGCAATGGTAAAATTGCGGTGGGCGAAATTACAGAGGCAATCCATTCTTGATACTAGAAATAGCTCAAGAAATACATGCAGTATTAATGTTACTTCATTAACATGCACAAATGAAGTGCAAAGTGCTTCTGTTGCCATTGCTGGTACTCAACAGCCTTTACTTAATACTTCAAAAAAACCAAACAAAAATCCTTTAGCGGACTAAATTTTCAACAGTGATATTTGATGCACTAATGGATGGGAAAAACATCTGTAAAAAGAGATTAATTACAGGACTGGAGATGAAAAAAACCCAAAACCTATGTTTCAAGTTAACTTTTCTCCAACAAGTTTACTTGAGTAACACTGATAATGGAAGGGAATGATTAGTTATACTTAACTACATAGACCTACCTGCTGCGAAGTCACTCAGGATTTGAGTTATGGTTGTTTACACCAACTGCAAGTCTGATTCACTGTATTTCAGAGGCAAATGCTCCACATGCTCATTTTCATTTTTTTCTCCTCTCTCTGTCTTTCTGGAAAACTTCTATCCTATTGTCCTATAAACCTGTTAGAAAAAAATACCATAGGCTTGTATAACTGACACTTATTTACAAGGCTTGGAAGGTCTGGGACTCCCACTGTAAAAGCATTTGGGAAGTACCATTGGTCATAATTACAGTTTTGAATTCCATGTCCAGAAGTGTCCTTCTGTGTAGGACATGTCCAGATGCATGTGGAAAACCTTAATCTTTGCAAACAATTCTATATCACGCTTTAACAGCATTATTAATGCTGGTTGCTGAATGCAAATTAAGAATTTGAGAGTGCAAATTTGATTGTGCCTACATTCAAGCATGTCTTTTATGTCTCTGCATGTGTGTTCAGCTGAATCTGGCAGTGCTCCTGTGGGCTGCTGTCTCTAACTTGTACCACTTGGTGCCAAATCCTCCATGATTCACTGCAAGTATATTTTAGCTTGCACCACCTTTTTTCCAGTTGTGGACTTCACTACTGGCAGTGTTGGGGTTAGTTCTGTACTACACAAGTCTCTTCCAGCACCTCTTGTGGCATGTTTTCAGGCTGCTCTGCTTTGGCTGGGAGGTTCATTGCTGTTACAAGGTCTTTCAAGTTCTGGGTCCTTGTTTTGGAAATTTGCTGATGTGCATATTCTCTCTCTCCCTCCCTCCGCCCATCCTGTCTCCCTCTTTTTTCTCCCTCCTTCCCTCCCTCTTCCCCCTCCCCGCAACTCCCTTCTGTTCTCTTATTTTGCAGACTTGCATAGCCACCCATGAGTCTAATGGGATTGATATTATAATTGCACTTGTCTTGAATGACATAAACCCTCTTGGCAAATACTGCATGGACTTGGTGCTTCAGCTAAAGGTACAGTAAATGTAAATTTGTTTATTTAAATTTGAGTAATAATAGAAGACATACCTATGCAAGAGCTCTAGGCAACCTGACATTTACTTAATCTTACTGTAGCATAATATACTCAGCAGCCTTTGAAAACAAACGTTGCAAATGAATTCAGCTCAGCTTCTGAATCCTTATTGGGCCCTCTGCCACAGGCCTTTTGACCCACTGTTTTGTTTGGGAGTATGCCCTCAGCTTTTTTAAAAAAAATCATATCAAACAGACATGATACAGCTAGCATGAGAAGTCTATATTGCGGGCATAAAGTCTCACAGAATTGATAAATAGCAGCACTGTACAAACATGTAACATGTCAGGCATTCTCTGTTTATACTGACTCTTAAAAAATTACTTGAGAAGGAGATGTGAAAAAAGAATAATATATCAGATGACCTGTAATGTCAAATAAATTCGAAAACCAGGTTAAAGTAAATTTTATTTTATTTCCCTTCTCAGTGTCCTCTGAGGGGGAGGACAAAGTGTAGAGTGGGACGGCGAAGAGTAGAGCAGAGAGGGCTTGTAATTTTGTTTTGTATTCTCTGAACAGCTGGATAGGCTTGTAGATAAGTTTCTCTCGTCTGTGTACCATTGCATGCAGAGGGGAGCTCTGCAGCTCTAGTGTGTGCCAAGTAGGGTAGAACTTGTCCAGGAGGAGCCTTGGGTTAGTGCCTTTTCTTGCCTTCTGAATGACGTATTTCCATCGCAGATGGCCTATTTCCTCCCCAAAACCAGCAAGTACTTTGTGGTAGCTGCATTGCATCCTATTGGCAACATTATGGATGTCTAATAAAATAATTAATATAGCTATATATCATGTACAATGAAACATTGAATCAACAGTGCTTTACACATGATTTTAATAACTGTAATTACATTTTTGAATGGCACGGTAATTCAGGCCCCCCTCAAGCAAAACACTTAAGCAGACATTTAACTTTGAACATACAGACAGTTCTTTTGAAGTCCAAATTTCAGACCTTGTAAAGACCTAGCTACAGTAACTCCAGTGCCATTTTGATTTGCCATTATCATGAAGCTGGCAAATGTTTGTAGAATATCTTTTCTATGTGATAACCAAAAATGGAGTTTAGTGACATTGCTGCAAGGACCAATTTGTCCCTGTTGGTAGGAGACTATATATGCCTTAGTCTCACTTACATAGCAAAAATTGTGATGAATGATACCAAAGGTTCAAACTGTGGAAATTATTCTGATTTTACAGAATCACAGAGTTATTTGGGTTAGAAGGGACATCTTAAGATCATGTTGTCCAATCCCTGTGCTCAAGCAGGGTCAGCTAGAGCAGGTTGCCCAGGACTGTGTCCAGTTGAGTATCTCCACAGATGCAGACTTCATAGCCTGTCTGGGCAACCTGTTCCAGTGTTTGATCACTCTCACAGTAAAAAAGTGTTTTCTTGTGTTTAAATGGAATTTCATGTGTGTTTTAATTTGTGTCCATTGCCTCTTGTCCTCTCACTGGGCACTACTGAGAGGAGTCTGGCTCCCTCTTCTTCACTCCATCCCATCAAGTATTTATACACATTGATAAGATCCTCCTTCTCCAAGCTGAACAGTCCCAGCTCTCAGCTGCTCCTTAGATGGAAAATGCTCCATTCCCTTAATCATCTTTGTGGCTTTTTGCTGGACTCATTCCAGTAAGTCCATATCTTTCCTGTACAGGGGAGCCCAGAACTGGACACAGTGCTGGGCTAGATGTGGTGTCAAGAATTAGATCCAAATTAAGAAGTTACTGGGTTTTATGTTGAGTGGCAACACATCCAAATAATATAGCACTGAGCTTACCAGGTAATGTTTAACATTGACAATCTGTCAGTGTTCATAGGCAACTCTGAAGTTGCAAATACATAGATTTTGCAGTGAAAACACAGAATACAAAGTATATAGGTCCCACACACTTACACATACAAACAAGCTCAGACACTGTTTTCAGGGAACATCATATATTGAACACATACCCCCCCAACCAAGGCAAAGGCAATGCAGAATTATATTTTCCCATGCCATCTTAATTTAGCTTGTTTTGCACAGTTTGTGATGTGGTATTTAATTACAACTTCATGGATTATATTTTCCACTGGACTCCCGAATCATTTAGTGAGCAGAGTAGACAGTGTTCATTGAGTGCACAGATGGCCAATGTTCTGTTCTGCCTCTTGTTATTTTGCGTATGACCCCCTGGCCTTCCTTACTGACTAGTATTTAAGCCCTGGCACACAGTATGACCTCAATATCTGCCACTCTGTATAGTGGCAGGATGAAGGGATGTTGTCAGTCTAAGGGTAGAGGGAGTCCAATATGAGTGTCTTTTTGGCTTTTCTCATAGCACCTTACTCTGCTGTATCTACTTGCTTCACACATTAATTTATTTTTCCAAAACTCTTATGAGGAGGTGAGATGGGAACTCAGGTAAAGGGAAATGAAGGCCAGAAGTACTTTGGGCTGTCCTGTTTGTAGCACTTGGGAACTGATTTTTCGCAGTACTAATGTGTTATGAAGAACTTTATATTGTGTGTTCCAAGTAATGGACCTCTTTTCCTCATTGATATCTGAGAATGGAAATCAGATCCTAGGGTCTCAAAGCATGCAGAAAATGAAGAACAAGTAGTCAAATGAGCATCTCAACATCAGGTGCAAGTGATCAGAGAGAAAAAAAAAAACATGAGGATGTGCCTGCTTCCTGTAATTCTAGGTTTGGCATGCCACTTTTGCCAAGTCAGTAGCAAGAAGCTGGCTGTTGATGACACAGCGTCCTGCCCACCCTTTACCTTTCCTCACTGCAGCAGGCTTCTCTCCATCCCCAGGGTTGTCTGCACTGGGAAATGGCTTTGAAGTCTTCCTCACCCATGAGTGAGTAGACTGTGCCTTCCTCCACTATTTCCTCCCCTTCTTTCTCAAGCTACCTGGCAGCCTGTCTTGTCCCCTTCCCTCCTCCTCAGTTTGAGATCCTACCAATGCTACCACAACTGACTTTGTCACCATTGTAAGGGAAACTGCAGCAGAAAAAGAAGCATCCAGTTCTTCAGAGCAGCACCCTGTTAGGAGTCTTAATCAAAATGCTATCCTTTCCCTCCACCTGGTCTCATTCACTGTGCACGTTAAACTTCCACAATGTAGGTTGCAAGGTAAAGAGTCTGACTAGACCTTTCCAATGGATGGTCCTGATTTGATTTTGGAGCAACAGGAAAGGGGAGCTATGGAAAAATTCATATGGAGTCCTGTGCTCCTTCAGCCAGTCCCAGTCTGCTCTTTTCTTCTCTTCTCTTGTTCTTTGTCCTTACCTCATTCTTGTATTGGCAAGCCCAGGCTCCTCTCTCCTGGCTTCTCAACTCCCTGTGTCCTCTCCCAGAAGGTCCTAGTTGCCCTGTCATGTATAAATACTCATTCTATTAAGCTACCCTCCTTCCATCTACCCCTTCCTTCTGCAGCTGACTTCTCATCCTACAGTCCTCCAGTTGGCGATTCAAACCTCAGCTCTGAGCAGGGGGTGGGACTGCTGAAGGTCAGAGGAGAGCCTCAAAGGTGTGATTTTTGTGATCCAGCCTGCATGGTTTTGTGATTCTGTGCCCACCAAGAAGAAACTCTGTGGGCTTTTAGCTGTGAAACTAGCAAGTTTCTACACTCTAGTATTCAAATTGTAATTCAAAAAGTGCTTATGAGTTGGACAAATCTGGCGGGCTTTCCCTGAGGACTACAGCTTGCATGACTGTGTTATCTTGGCCTCTAGTGTTCCAGATTTTCAGCTCTGCTATCAAAACTTGGAGAAATAAAGGCTGCTTACAACAGAAGTTGCTTGAACATGCAGGAAAGAACATTTTTCTTTTTGCCTCAGTCCCAAAAGCAGCTGAGCCCTTTTCCTCTGAAATTGCCCTTACTAGTTGTATGAGGCACACCCTCGCTGTGAGAAATTTCAGTTTGAATTGCTGACGTCTGGCAATAAGCAGCTGAGCACGAGGTTGTATGATGGTTCAGAGTTTTACCTGTATCATGGGACTGTGGTCTACTTCCAAATATTCACACAACTCGGTCTGTAATGGGGGATGATGAGGGGGTGCTGTGGCAGGTGAACCAAGGCAACCACGCCCTGCCAGAAAGCAGTTGAACCTCCCAAACCGTTTTTCCTTTCCTGTTCACAACAACTGATTTAGCTGGAAGTAAGACAGGTCTCTGAAGTTTAAGGCACTACTGGGTTACTGCTGCTAAAGCTCATGCTGTTTAATCCTTGAGAGAGGTCTCCGTGAAAAGCAGCCAGTTGACAAAGTAAAGAGTATCTTTACACATTCCCCCAGGAATATTTGGTAGTGAAACAAAATTCCAGGAATGTATGAAACCAGCTTATTTTATAGCCTTTCAAATAATAACCAGTTGGACTTTATAAAAAACAAAGGGGAAGGAAACCTGCCTGAATGATGAAACCTTTCACGTAATACATTTTGTAATTACCTCTGTTGAGTATTGTTTTAGCAGAATGCTATGGCAAAAATTGCTAGGTGGGCAATAAGAAAAGGAAATGGGATTTTGTTCCTTGTGCACAGTATAGAACAAGGCTCTGCATTTAAGGTGAATATTTTTCAATATTTAAAATACTTCTTCCAATATAGTGTTCAGGGTTAGTTAGCCTACAGTATGCTGACATTAAAATGGGAGAAAAACCCTATTAAATATGTCAGTAATATAAAAGATGAGAGTAGTTTATAATCTTATCCGCTAAAAAAGTGGTCCTTGTAATCTCAATTAAAACAAATGCAAGGGTCATTAATCCATGAAATAGATTTTTAAATTTTCATTAACTTGGTTTTGTATCTCTAGAACAATGCCTCCAAGCTTTTGCTGGCTATTATGGAAAGCAGGCACGACAGTGAGAATGCAGAAAGGATCCTTTTCAACATGAGACCAAGGGAACTGGTGAGAAAACTTCCGAATATTCATAAATCTTTTGGCTGAAAAAAAATCTGTCATTAAAACATTTTAAAAATGATCTGCATCTAAGCTGAAAAGTGTTGGCAGCATATAGTGACACAATGTATCAGGATAGTACTAATTCAGAAAAAAGTACTTTAAAAGGATCAAGCATGCATGATTTTAGTCTTTACGACTTCATTATTTTTATCCATTCCAAGCACTTTTCTGTAATTGTTTCCTAACTAAATTGTCATACTCTGGTAGACTGTCTTCAAGTACACTTTGTCAGGGGCTGGGACACTAAGCTTGTACAGTTTGTGAAACAGTGCTAACAGAAGTGTGTGTGTAGACATGTAATATATATATATTATTTGTATGCATGTTGTATGTTTCATATATATATATATGTCTCCTGAGCAAACAGAGTTACAAGCAGTTGTTGCTGTATTTTGGAATAACTGTGATACTTGTGTAGGTCTCCAGGAATTTTAGATAGATTGTAAGTCTGGAGATATTGTTTCCAATCCAATTGACCGTGTAACAGCAGTGACTGAAAAACTTGTTTTGTGGGGAGATCTGTGGGCATCAGCCCCTGCACTTGGGCAGAGCCCAGTGGGCTGCTGGTTTCGGGGAGTCATCGCCATGGTGGCATGTCAGGATGACGAGGCCGTCCCTAGGGTACAACTGCAGGATCAGGCCCTGCGTGGGGAATGTAGGACTTCCCCCCCGTTGGTCCTGTAAGAGGCTTTTGAATATTTTGGAATTGCCCCAGCACCCTGCCCAGATTTGTATCTTCCTCTTCTTTTTGGTTTAGTGGGTTGTTTTTTTTTTTTCTCTGTTAAACTGTGTGGAGAACGCTGAGTGACATTGCAGCCAGCTCTAGCCAGAGACAGATCATGGCTACACTCTAAGTGCTGCAAGACTCTACCTGTGGTATCTGTAGATCTGTCTTTAAAAGCGTTTGTGAAAATACCTGTTCAGAAAGGCTCAGCATCCCTGTTCCTTTCTCATGGTTGCAGAAGTTTTGTTGATGAGAAATGTAGCTGTTTGGAGCTTTATAAATACTTCAAGCTTGTCTTTATTCAGAAGGTGTTTCTCAGATTGCTCGCTCCTCTTGCAGGACTGTAGAGCACCCATCCAGGCTTGAGCTAAACAAAGCAAGCGTGTTCAAACACAGTGTCCGGTGCTTTTTCCCCGAGAATGACAGTTATTTCATCCCTCCTTGGTTGGGTTTGTGTTACAGGTGGATGTGATGAAGAACGCATATAACCAAGGCCTTGAATGTGACCATGAGGAGGAGAACGGAGATGATGGCATCTCCCCAAAAGATGTCGGCCATAATATCTATATTTTGGCACATCAGGTATGTCTTATTTGTTGTGTGACTGCTTCCAGAAAAGCGTTACATGGTTAAACTCCACACAAAACCTGTCTGATCAAAAAGGGGAGTTTTCCCTTCTTGTGATTTCTGGCTCATGTTTGTGTACAACATGACTTTATCTAGAAAGTTGCTGAGAGCAGGACAAGTAAGAAGTCTCACTGTATGAGTAGGCACTCTGAGGGATTTGGTAGGCTCTATTTGTGTGAAATAACAATGCACAGCAAAGCAGTTAATGTCCACTTAGCGTTGTCATCTTTTAATGTTAACAGCTCATTTATATCAATCAAATTATAAATTGCGTTATCATTATTGGTGTATTTTAAATAGTAGCTTCAGTTGTGGTACCAAGTGAACTTGAATTGAGAATACTCCTATTATTTTAGATATATTAGTTAGCCAATAAGAATAATTAGGCCTTTTTACTGTTTTCTCCTTTTGAATTATATTATAGTGCCCTCAAGCTTTTTCTGATCATTTTTGCTTCTCTGCTGGTAAAGGTAGCATGTACACTGAAGGTTTTTATTTAATGAGATAGTAATTCTTCAGAGCCGTTGGTATCAAAAATAGTTTATCTTTCAATTATGTTAAGAGTATTGAAAAGATTTTTTAAGTTGAAAAAATAAAGACCACATATTTCTTGATTATATCATAAATGATAGCATTTGGTATTTCATATAAGGGCCAAATTTTTAAAAAATGTTTTTACTAAGTAAGAAGCAATAAACAGATAGGGATAGGGAGTATTCTACATTCATTATGCTTATTAAGTGTTAGGAATTGAATACTCAATGGAAAAAAAAAAGAAAGCGATGTATAGTTACATTAGTATTATGCAATGTTTCTTTCAAGCAAGGAAAGCAAAAACAGTTACTGAGTTATGCTTGTGTGCTTACAGCACATTTAAATAAGTCACTCTTGTTATTATGTTGTTGTTGTGGTTGACCATGTTCTACTCTTGTGCTGTATGTAGGACTGTACATAAGATACCCATTGAAGATGATAGAATTTTTAGAAAACATCTGTAGCTCCCTGCCTGGTATGACTATTTACTCCTTGTATGAATGCTTATAATGAAAATTCAAATGCCTGCCAAATGGAAATGTTGGTATTTTATGTCTTCTGCCTACAGTTTGTGTAAAGTGACTTAACAGGGTTTGTGACAATGGACAATAAGTTTGGGGAGTAGAATATAGGCCTGAAACTATATATGAAGTGACTGCTAGGGTCATTTTACAAAAGAGGTCACTACCAAGGGTACACTAGCTAGCTGAGGTGTAGATTTAGCTCTGTCCCTAGATACATACTCAGGGTGCTGGGGAGGTGCATAATGCCACTCCACAGCTATTCCAAGTGCCTGTTCCATAGTTGGCATTATGGTTGCATAAGGCTGGATATTTTTACAGCAATTTACTGAGCTCCTTCCTGTTCTGTAGAATTAAATGGCATGATTGGCTCTCTATGCTGTAAAAATATCCATCTTTTTACAAAAAAAATTACTGTTTTCCTCTTCTTGCGTTTCTGTGATACAGTACATGTGTCTGCTTACAATAGCTTTGCACCCATGTTAAGCCCCATATCAAAACAAAACAATGGAAGGGCAAGTGATCTGGGGCCTTTCTCTCTCCTCCGCTAATGAAAAGCTATGATTCTTGGCCCAGGACTGCTGATCTTTGACTCCAAACTCTTTCCGTGTGTGCCCTTTTGCTCACCCTGGGATGGGCAGGATACAAGCGTGGTCCCTCCTCAGTAAGGCCATTGTTGCTGGGTTCCTTTGCTGGCTCCACTCTCCAAACACCCTTTTATGCTTTGCTATGTTGAAGTGGCTTTTTGGTGGCTGGGCCTTCCACTCAGCTTAGCTGACCTGGTTTACATAATATTTCTTTGCTGTGCTCCTTACAATTTCACAGTTCATGTGACTTTTTTTTTTTTCCTACAACCAGTGTGGCTCTTTAGTCACTTTCCTGACACTTGCTTATGACCACTTGCTCTAGTTACAGCTTTTTGGTCACTGTAATAGCAGAATAAAGACCAGGAGTTCCTCTTTCTGCTGTTACAGCCCTCAAACACAGACAGTTTATTTTGGGGAGCTCAGACTTTCAGTTTTTGTCGTTGCACTCTTCAGGGCCGTGGTGGGTTCTGCATTTTGCCACCACTACATCCTTCCTTGCCCTTCCTGTGGTTGATTTTACCAGAAGCAAAAGGCATTCTTGTAAATGTTTGACCCACAGTGCATAGAAAGTTATAAATATGTCACAAGCAAGGCTGAGATTTCTGTTACTGAATCTCCTTTACAGCCTCCCAACCCCTACCCCAGATGCATACGCAGGCACATGTATGCAAGTACATGTGCATGCACGTACACCTCTCACACACACGCATACATCACACAGGCGTACATCACACATGCACACAGAAGTGTGTGGGCACAGTAGCCTGGGGCATGACGGTAAGAGGCTGACAGTTAAATATGCCATGTCATGACAGTTATCACGTCTCTTCCACATGTTTCTCTGTCCCCTCTTTTCTTTCCTTTATTTCTTCATCCTCCTCCAGCCTGCCACGTGCCATAGCTGTGCTGCTTCCCCTGCACTGACTCCAGGCTGTCTCGACGCTGCTGCTCCTCACTTTTCCCATTCGACGTATTATGAGCAGAGAGGAGAAGGGAGTGCCACCGAGAGAAAGCAGAACTGACTTATCCATGAGGAACTACCCTGAGCTGCATCCCCACTCTGCAGCCTGGCTTTGGGGTAGGGGCTCCTTCCAGACGTAGCTCTTCTACAGCTGCCTGTGGAGGAATGACACAAACTGGTGCTTGAGGTCACATCCTGGAAAAAGAAGCCTATTATTGCTAGCTAGAGAGCATTCACAATTCTCTTGGAAATCCAGGGAGAAGCTTCTGTTTTCTTTGTCTTGTTCAAATGTCATGCTCAGAGCCAAGCCTTGACCTTGACATTGCTAATTTCTTACTGTAGTCTCGGGTGAATGCCAGTGGTGTGTTACGGACAGTTCCATCAGCTCTTACACCTCTTTTCCAGCCTCAGTCAAAAGAAATTGGTGTGGTATTTTTATTGCTGTCCTTTTAAAAGATCCTGTTAAAGCAGGCTACACTTCATTTTGCAAAGTTAGTATGGTTGTCCACAAAGAGACTTCATCTTGATGTGATGAAGTGTGTAGAGTTTACAAAAGCTTTTGACATAGTAGCACAAAGAAGTTTTAATACTTACTCACCTCATGTGCAGAAGCATTAGTGTAGGAGAATCGAGTTTTTAAATAGCTACCCCCCCAAAAAAAAAAAAAAAACAGTCATAAAAGGCTGAAGAAATCCTCTGGCTTTTCAGGTGAGTGCTTGAGCTTGCTACCTGTTAGTTATAACAGAGTATTTCAGTAGTCTGTAAACTAAAAAAGGTTTCTTGGAGTTAGTAGTATTTCTGTGAGGTTCATGACGCCTTTACATTTACAGTGAAGTAAGATAAGGGACTGGTTATAACCACAGGCTCCTATAGTTTGCATGCCTGTTTATATGTGCTTCTGTTAACAGAAAATACTTTGGAGTCTTTGTGTTTTTCAGCTAGATGCAAACTATCTAAATCAGGCATGAAGCCCAGGCTAATATGCTGTACCTTTCAGCAGAGGCTTTATTCCCGAGGTTCAGAAGAACGTGAAATAACTACATAGCTTCTAGTCAGCTCGCAGCATGGGAAGAGTGCACTTTTCATCTGCTTGTAGAGCTGTGTAGATGTGTCCTTGATCTAGAAGGATGTGAGTGGGTAGGGAGTAGGGAAGCCAATTGTAATACTGTAACAAAATTTTCAAATTTTCAATGCCTTGTGACTTCATCTGGTTCCCAGAGCTGTTGCAGGAGTATAGAGGTACTGACCTAGCATGTCACCCCTTTCATGATGCACGTTCTGAGGCTCTCAGAGAAACAAAATGTTTACTCATGCTCAATTTTAAGCATACGCTTAAATGCCTTGCTGGAGAGGGACCATAGGTCTTAGAATTCCACAATATCTTTGTAAACTCCAAGTAAATACAATAGGGTTTTATGAGGTTAAGCTAAAAATTTAAATCCCAATGGACTACCAAAACTACTTATATTCATATAATTTCCTCGTGGCACCAAGGCTTAATGAGAAGTCATTTCCTCCACCCCGTAAGGTTAGAAGAAATTAACACTGCTTGATATCAATGCAGGTATACTGCATAAATGAACACAAGCTTGAACCAGGCTATCTTCTGATAGAGTAACACCGTTGGAAATGTCCTTCCATTGATAAGTTCTTAAAATAAACTGAAGGAAAAGCAGCAGGATTTGCTGTGAATTGTAACGTTATTGCTGCAGGTACTACGAAGCATACTGTAGCAATTGGACATCACGAGTAAGTCATACTCCTTCCACTCTGGTGCTAATTTTAAATGGACTGAGCAAAATAAGCCATTCAGCCTTATATATTTGTTAATATATTAAATATTTTAATAGCAGAATCAAGATTTATTTATCAAACTTGTCAAGTTTTATCAAACTAATGTATTGCCATGTTTACTTCATGCAGTATATTGCATATTAGTGTACACACATGAAGAACATTTGCTAACTAGGCAACTAAAATGGTAATAATTGATGGCATGGATTTATAGTTTCGGAGTAGTGGTGCACTACAGGCTATTTTTTAAGCATTAGTGTTCTTGACATTTGAAATAGGACTGGTTTGATAATGAGACTTGGATATGATACATTCATTAAGGAGAAACTAAAGTCAGTTTTAAAAAATTAAGCTATCCAAATATGTAATGTTCTAAGAAGCACAAAGCCTTTTGTTTCTGTGGGTTTCTGTTTAGCGTGTTATTCTATATCTTTCATCAGATTTGAGTACAGAAGGGGCTGGGACCAGCTTTATTTCCCACATCAATGCTGTGCCTAGAACCCTGTGGTTCTGGGACTCATATACTACAGCAGAACAAATAAATGACAATAATAATAG